ATAAAGTTGCAGGAGATTGGACCTAAGAAAAACAGAACTTGCAGTTTCTGGAATGCTTTCTTTATATACAGATTATTTTGGTTAGCTTACTAAATATGCATTATATTCAGAAAACAGAATTCTATTTTCAGTTGTTATGAAATATTCTTTGGGGAACATTGCATGAGGGTTCCCATGAATATGCCTTATTAGCTATAAGAGAACAAATAAATCATAGTGTGTAATAAGGCCATGCCTCTGAAAGCTTTTGATGAGATACAATGAAACTGTTCAAGGATTTTTTTCTAGAAGTTTAAAATACTACAAATAATGACACATGCTATACCAACACTTATCTTATTGCCTTCTGATTGCTTCCATATTTTGTTTGTTTTCCATATTTAATCAACTGTAGTTTTTAGGAATAAGAAAACATTCAGTGTCGCCACTACCTATTAATTTCGAGATGACAAAGCAGAGTCAGCCTTTAATTACTGGTACCTATGCAGTGAGGCGAGGAGCCACTCCACGTGCCATCCGCCTGGCACAGCCTGGTGCTCGAGCCCACGAGGATGAAAGGCGAGCTGCAGCTGAAGGAGACCTCTGACTGGTATATGAAGCTCTTGCCTTCTCGCTTCCCTTGGGAAGGGACCCCGGGGTCGCCGCAAAATTTAGCTGGGAGTAAAGATAAAGAAACTTACCGAAAAGACTTAGAAGCCACCAGAATAAACGGTTTAGAAAAATTGAGAGGTAGCATACTGAAACATTAAAGTCACCCATTACTGGGGATAACCTATCCCAAAGAAAAATTCCTTTTTTTCTAGCTTTCTATGTAAATCAATACTAAAGGAGCAGTAGTAGAATATATGGATTATGAGTCTGATTCTATGAGTAGATAGCTTGTATCTATATATGACTTTATTAAATCAGAATATTTTAATCATCTGATATTTTATGTTGACAAGGAACCAACTATGCATCAGGAGGTATATTCTGCAAATGAAGTACAACCCTGGAACGACATGCAGTTCTTAGGTAACTCTGCCACGACTAATTAATTAATTGGTAAGGTTCTTGGTTTTGCACCACAGTTCACAGTGGCCTCTTACACACACACACACAAGCATATATACACACACATTCACACATACATAGTTATTCGTTCCTTTTTCTCTATATATATTGGAATAGCACACATATTCCAATATCTTATCACTTTCACTTCATGGTATATTTAAGTTTTTAGGGGAAAAAAGACCGCCAGAATCCAAATTTATATAAAACTGACAAGTCTCCATGTTCTACAACCACAGAAGAAGTTCCCTTGACAAGATTTTTAAAGAAATTGATGATATACTCAAAATGTACTATTTGATATTAAAGACAAGCATTTTCATTGATGGTTTTAAGAATCTAAACCTATCAGTATACATGAGTATGAGTCTTAGGAGTCAGAGAGATAGCTCAGTGCACTGAGTGCCTACTTAGGCAAGCTCAGGGACTGGGGTTTGACCCCTGACATCACATGTCACACTGGCCCCCACTCCCAGGTGCGCTGAGCCAGCCACCGAGTCCAGGTGTGGTGGTGCATGCCTGTATTCCCAGCACTGGGGAGGCTGAAAACAGGAGGGTCATTACAAATCTGACCTGCGTAATGAGACCCTGTACCAAATACATAAAGAAAAAAATGAGTATGAGTCTTGACCTTATGGAGTTTATGTACTTATTAGAGAAGCAAAAATAAGAAGATTTAGAAACAACGAACGTGGAAAGGCAGAGAGTTCTATGGGGAAGACATTTCAAGGCAAGGAAATGTGTGCATCTGTGTGTGTGTGTGTGTGTGTGTGCGCGCGCGTGCGTGTGTGTGCATGTGTGTGGTGGCAGACAGCAGAATGTGGAGACAGAGTTTCTATAAAGTGGTAAAGGTACATCTTGCTGCAGAAAGATGCAAAGGAAAGAAAGTGGGTCAGCCATGCTGGGCTTCCAAGGGAGAACATTCCAGGGAGAAGATGCCGAAATCCTGTGCTGGGCACCACCAGCCTGCAGAAGAAACAAGGAGTCCGGAGGGACTGCGGCTGTGCAGGGGTGCAGAAGCGTGACAGGGAGCTGGGCCCAACACAGGACCCCAGCCCAGAGACCCAGCCACGGAGGCCCACGTCGCCACCTCCCAGCTGCGTCACTGGGATTTCTTTCTGGGGATTCTCAGGCTGGGAAGCAGTCTATTGGTACCAGGCTTAGAGGCTGAAGACAGATCATAGAAGAGGGTGCTATTTACAGCAACAAATGTTTTAAGAGAAAATGATACATTTTTAGCATTATTTAATTGTTTCTTTATGTTGTACTGGCGATTAAGGTCAGGACCTTGCTCTGGCCAGGCAGGTGCTGAGTTGCTCAGCTATATCCAAGGCCCTGGTGTATTTTTAAAAGAGTTAAAGAGAAAATATTTTTCTTCCTGAAGGCCACAAAATTAATAATTTTGGCTATTTAATTTATATGTGTATGTAAATACTACATGTATACATGTATCTGTATGTACACTAAATTATTTAATTTTATCTCTATGAACAATATTGATTTTAATACTGTTGTACATGTCTCCTTCTTCGCATGTACAAAAATTTCTGTAGTGTACATATCTAGAAATATAACTTCTGGGCAACAGACTAGACATCTTTATGTACTGCTAAATGCTAGTAATTAGTTTGTATCCATTTACACACCCATCAGGAGTGAATAAAGGTACCTTGTGCCGCATCTACGCCAAAATTTGACGCTAACTCTGCTTTCTGTCTTATAGTTAGTAGAGAAGTATTTATTGCATTTATATTTTATTTTATATTTATGTTAGAATATAAGATAAGATGGCTATACTGCTAATTTATCTTAATTCATTGCAAAGCGAGTTTTGCGCTAATATTGTTCAGGCAATTAAATGCCTATATCTTGTATTCTTTGTAGCTAATTTAAAGATAACAGTACACTATGTATTAAATAATGTTACTCTCCTATTAATTTGCTTTGAAATTCTGTTCTATTTTTATCATTTTAAAATGTTTTTAATTAATAAAATTTTGTTTCAAGAAGGCTATATGTATATATGATATATAATACTGCCATTAGTTTATATACATATTAGTGATATTTTTGAAGTTATAATTTGTCTTTGATAAGAAATATTGTTTTAATTTTAAGGTTGCTGATTGTTTCCAAATTTTTTATCAGTTTCACCTCATAAATATATATTAAGAAATCTGTCCTTAGCCTATGAAGATTAAAGTAGACTATTAATATTTAAAACTTTTATATTTAAGTCTTCAATGAGTCTGGCAATTATTTGTTATTTGGAGTGATATAGAGATTGTATGTATGTGTGCATGTGTGTATTTGTGTGCGTATGTGCAAATGTGTGTGTGCGTGTGTGTGTGTGTGAACTGCCTCTCCGAATTAAGATGCTCATGCTGTCCTCACAGACTTCATATCAAGGAGCTGTGAGTAGTCCCACCCTTCTGCACTCTGATATGGATTCACGTTCCACCTCTGTCAATTCCGTGGGTTTTGATTCCCGTCAGTGACAGGGCTACATAGTGGAGTTAGAACGGTGAACAAGCAAAAGCTTTCTGCCCCTGGGAAGCATAAATTTCAGTTTGGGGCATAAACAAGTTGTGAGTGTGTTTTAAAGGAAAACAAGGGGTGAACCGAGTGCTAAATTTAGGGGGAGAAACCTTAAAGGGCTCCGCTTTGATCTACTGTGCTCCACCCAGGAAATTTTAAACCAGGTGATAGCATGACACTGAGAAAGGGGATTTTTGGAAAAAAGCTGAAAGAAGAAAAGGCAAAGTGAAGAATAATTACAGAAGTGCTGATGCCAACTGCAGTGGAGGGTACGAGGGGAGGGTATCAAGGGCTGTGCCCCCGGAGGCCAACGGACAACGTGCCAGACACAAGATGCACAGAACCCCACGATGCCGGGAGCAAGGGCAGCGAGCCCAAGGGCACTCGGCTCCACTTGGCGTGCACCAGGAGGAGCCTGGAGGACTCTGTGAAGCTCACACTACGCTCGCTGCTCACCTCCAAGGCCGCAGGAACAGGGAGAGTTGTGAACTTGCACTGAGAAGGAAAGGGGCACCAGGAGCAAGACAGCACCAAACGTGCTGTGACTGAGTGCTGGCCATGTCGGGTGCTGCAGTGAGGTGTGACTGTTGTGCAGAACAGGTCACGTCACCATATATGAGTACAGGTATATTACTATACAGAGAGGGAGAGAGGGGGAGGGCAAGACCACAAATACCACATACACGCACTTCAGTAGCTGGCTGTACTAATGCATGTCTAGAAGCTTGTTATGGTGCGCATCTAGTTATCCCACCAAAGCCTCACACAGTCATGGGGTATGGGGTGGCTTCTGTAATTTGTGATTGATTTATGATCTAAGGCTGGGATTATGAGTCTGAGAATTGCTGGGATTATGGGTCTGAGTACTGCTAAGATTATAGATGTGAGTGCTACAGCCAGCCTGAAAGCAGTATAAGGAGGAGAGAGGCCTGCGCTCTGTGTAGCCTTTGCTGCCGCTGTTCCTGTCCTACTGCTCTCTGCTCTTTGCCACCACCATGAAAGGTTGTTCTCTGCCATGTGCCACTCTGCCTCGGAGCCAGCTCAGTATGGACTGAAACCTCCAGAAATTGTGGGTGTCAAGTATTTGTTCCAACAACGAGAGCAGAGTAAGACAAAGCTCAAGGCCACCACTTTGAGCACCTCTTAACAGAATTACAGAGGCCAAAGGTAAAGTGTTAATCTCATGATGTCTCAACAAATTTAATATTAAAGCATTTCTTTTTCTCATGTATATATTTTTGGCAAAATTTCTCTCTCTCTCTCTCTCTCTCTCTCTCTCTCTCTCTCTCTCTCCCCATGTTTCTCTCTCTATATATGATACGTGTGTGTGTGTGTGTGTGTGTGTGATTGTATTACACCTGTGAGTGAAAACAAGGGATGCAAGGGATGAACCTACTACTAAATTAAGGAGAACAAATCCTTGAAGGGTTGTGCGCCATACAGGAAATTTTAAACAAAATGTTAACAAGATGTAGAGAATAGGGATTTGGGGAAAAATATATCTATATAACATAAATGTGATTTGTTTGGTTTTATGTTCTTACAAAATTAATCCAAATTAATACTTCTTTCTGATACACTAATACACTAATCTCTACAAAACAATAACCTCTAATGTCTATTTTTCCTTTGATAATTTTAGATGTATAAAAAGAATCTTTGTCATGACCTATGGCATCAGAACAACTTGATTTGAATGAACATATAGAAATAACATGGATTTTTTTTTTGGTAAAATCTGATTTGTGGGTCAAAAATAATAAAGAAGTAAGGAACTGGAATAAACTAGACACAAAAGTAATTTTGTGTGAAATAGAGCTAATCTGTGACGATCTCTACATTAAATAATAATTTTATAAAATAAGAAAAGTCAATAAGCAGAGAAGCTTACCCAAAATTTGGAGACCATAATGGTTAGAGTACATGGAAGAGAGCTGACTTCTTTCTTGGAATTTTAGTTAAGCACTGGAGGAATGTTAACAGAGTCATACGTGTTCCAGTAAATCTGAAGAACTTAGCCATTATTTTCAAACACAATGTTAAGCGTGGAAATTAAACTTACGCAGGCACTGCGGCACCTCCCCGCTCCAGGTACCGTTCCCAACACAGGTCAAGACAGCGGGGAAAGACAGCTCGTACCCCGCAGAACAGATGTAGCTAATGCTAAAGCCCCAGTCGAAATTTGTTCCTTCCAGCCTTCCGTTAGAGATCTGGGGAGGAGCCTGGCACGTAACAGCTGCAATTATATTCAAAGTGATTAGAAACAGCTGTTGAAATATTCTGGCTGTAAAAATAAATAAATATCATTAGAAGCAGCATATGTGCTAATTTAACCTTTTGGAGGACAATATGGTGTGACAGGTTTATTCTCCTGGTAGTGTCCACAAAACATCCCTGGAATTAGTCCTTCTAGGATGCTACTTTTTCTTGGCAACATAATGGCTAATGATTGTTGGAGATTATTTTACAAAATAGCAAGCTGTCTGACATCTGTGGGTCGGTAAATAGATGGCAACCGATCCCATGATACTGAAACAGATAAATTATTAGTAGCAAGTAAAATGATTTTCCAACAATCTTTATACAATACTGGAAGCTGAGTGGCATGACTACAAGCAATATCAGCTTTGTGACTGAGGAATTTAGCCACAGTCCTCTAGTATTTGGAGAACAAACACCGTGGGTCTCATTACAGCACCCATATTAGTTTCTGACACCATTTAGATTTGTGTGTTAAAAGCTAAAATTAGTATATGAAGAAATTTATTCCAAAATTTGGAGTAATGCCAAAAAGAATATAATGGAAAGAGTACAGGAAAAACAGCTGCAATTGTAAAGATTGATTTTTTTCTTTGCATTTTAATAAGGAATTATAGGGATGCAGAAAGAAGGGTCCTCTCCACACCCGCCCACCGGCAGCCATGTCTGGGTCTTCACAGCTGATGACTAGCAGCATCGGACCAGTATTTTTACATTTTTAAAAATGTGTTTTGATGGGGCCAGGGAGATGG